CGCCATGAGACCTTGAACCCGCTGAAATAGGCGATCTCGCAACGGCAAAAATGACGGACGCACTTTTTGAAATTCCCACCACAATAAGGGCGATCGTTCAATAAGTTAATGGACGAGTTGATTCATTTGGTGCAATATTAATTTTGTGTTCTACAACGTGTCGTTCTTTTTAATTTTTTTTTCCTAACAGAGCGCGGCCGCCATGCAAACGGCGATGAATGCAAACAAGGCGGCGCTCCACGCCAGACAGCGCCACGCCGGCCCGCCATAACACGGCAACAGCTTGGCCATGCGGAAACCTCGACCAAGTGCACTCTCAATACGGCACGCGGGGCGCCCGGCGATCAGCGTGCGATTGTGCGAGCTGGCGGGGCGAGGGGTGAGGCGGGGCGGGGTGGGTGAGGTGAGGCGGGGCGGGGCGGGGCGGGGCGTTGAAACATTGCATCACGACGACACGGCCGGGGCGGGGCGGGACGCGGAGAGCAGCGCGCGCGCGCGCCAACCGTCCCGTCCGCATTTGAGTTGAAAAATTAGGGGCAAGAGAGTAGAGTAAAGAGCCCCGCGCCGAGACAGGAAGAGCGCGAGACGCGGCACGGGGCGACGGACGCGGAACAGAACCGAGCGCGCGAGTGAAAACCAAAACGACACGACGGGACGCCTCTCCGTCGCCGGCCCGGCCGGCTTGTCGGACATCTTGCGAGTGATACAACGTGTGTGGCGCGGAACTTAGGAGAAGCGACGTCGGGGTAGTATATTTTGGGGGTTGCAGTTCTACCCCCTACCCCTACCTTCCCACTATCTCGCCGAAACGGTTTTACCAAAAGTTATCTATAAATATTAAGCTTTTCGCACCCCAGCCCGCCGCTTACTCATCGACCACAGAGAGGCAGCAGGAGGGGGGGGGGGCAACAATTCAGACCAAGTAAAGTGCTTCCTAAGGGTCCTAAGGGTCCTACCGGGCGGGGCGCGGAGCCCGCGGGAGGCGGCGGCGCCTATGAGGCGCCTTTAAGGCGAGGCCTAAAGGAACCTAAAGGTCGCAATGAAGGCCGAATTAAAACTCCCCGCCCTTATCACCCTCATTATCGCGGCGCGAGCTTTATCGCCCGCCGCGGGCAGAGAGAGAGAGAGAGAGAGAGAGAGAGAGAGAGAGAGAGAGATGCCGGGATGGGTAGTCTCTTTAGCAAGTGAATTATTGCGCTGGTCCAGAGCGGTGCGAAATAGCGCACCTGTCTAGTACACTTTCCATTTCATGCTGCATCCCG